GTTGAGGCGGAACTCCTCGGTGTACCCCAAGCTCTCACCCGCGCCATATGGCTGCCATTCCACCTATGAAATGGGGCAACAATGCAAATTTGATGACTATTTTTCAAGCAAGCATGAGAAAGGACTGAAGTAATGACCTCCTTACCTGCTCAGGCGTAATCGTGTCCAACTCGGCAATGTACATTTGGTACATGAGATTGACATTGTTCATCATCTCGGAAACGATATCCCACTTGTAAGCCCACGTGGGGCGCCGTAATTCGTCATGTTAATCTGCATACCAAGGATCAAACCTGACGCTCTTCGGGCGTCCAACAGGCAGACGCTCCCAGCTCCATACAGAAAGTAGAAGCAGATTACCACCAATGCCTGCACTATCTGTGATCCTGCAACACGCATCGTCCAGCTACATATGAAAGAAAAACAATGTTAACTTGACAGCAAGCTTGCATTGCTAATGAAGAAATGAGTTGATCACAAAACAGACCAACTACCTGTCGGTACAAGTAGGCAAGAGTTGCTGAACCCCAGCTCCATTTGCTATCAAAGACAGTCAACGCCTTCAGCCACATCCATGGAGCGTTCTTGCCAGTGGAGTCAGGAAACAAAGTCCTCGACACAACATACCACATATACACACGAGCATGTGTCTGGATCACATCATCAGTGGCAACCGGAGGGCACGTCGCAAAGTTATTTTGAATCCACATGAAAGCAGCTCCGGCTGCTTTACTTTGCCTCTTCTTCTTCTCTTCTCCCTCCTCTACATCAGCCTCAGCCTCGGTAGGAGCCATACCGATAAGAGCAATCATCTGCTCGCGCCACCCATCAGAATCGGTGCTCATACAGAGAGGCCTCCCGTCGATAGCAAGACCGGTGATCAACGAGACATCCTCGAGTGCCCCAGTCCGAAGATGGAAACTGTGCGTCTCCGGCCTCCATCGATCAACAAGAGCGGACACCAGTGGAGCGTTCAGATTCGGCGTGGACCGGCTGACCAACAGAACCCACGGGAGTAGTCCTGCCTGCTTGATGTACGGTGTGTACCGCTCATCGTAAGGCATGGCAGGACCAGAGACCCCGTGATACCGAATCTTTAGAGGTTCAAGCTTCTGCAAAAAACAAGTAATGACAAATCTTAGGGCATGTAAATTTCAACTAAAGGCAAATTTGCAAAAGATTTAGATTACTCATTATTACCTTCTCCTTCTCGCGCATCATGTAGGCCCGGTGTTGCACGTCGTAGACATCGTCCAAAAGCCAAAACATCCTTACAAATTTCAAACAATAAACATATATGAGTTCATCTCAAATATCGGTAAACACTCAACATTTCATATGTGTTCATCTAAACATCTCATATGTATTCATCTACAAGAATCTCAACATCTCCTTCTCACACAATGAATAAATGATTGTAAATTATCATATATATCTCGTATGACATATGTGTTCAAATAAATCAACATCTCATATTTCAAATAAACTCAACATCTAATATATATCTAAAAAAACTCAACATCTCACATATAGCTACAAAACTCAACATCTCATAATTATCTCCAAAACTAGGCATCTCATATATATCTAAAAAAATAAACAATCTAGGTTTCACTAACAAGAATCATATACTACCGGATATGACTACACATCCTCCATCACAACACACAATCTTGAACAAACAAAGATCCAAACCAAGCAAATCTAAGTTTCCACCTAATCTTGGGCAAATCCCTAAAATTGCAACGATTTTACGGAGGAAAAGAAAGGGAACAGAAGAGTTTACGTACTAGGAAGGATTGGAGATAGAATCCAGGCCTCAAAACTTCAGATCTGAGAGGGGGTGTGGGGGGGGGGGGTCCGAAGGGGGCGCCGCCGCCGCTCTCTGTACAGAAGAGAGCAACTTCTCAGAGGTGGAAGAACTGCCTGGGAGGGGCTGGCCCGATGCGGCCTAAGTCAACGTGCAGCGCCTAAGACACGGGCGCTGCACTATACACAGTGCGGCGCCTAAGCCTTAGGCGCTGCACTACTGTTTGTGGGGCCGCAACTGGACCAGGGCTGCCACGCTGGCAGGAGGTGCAACGCCTAAGGCAGAGGCGCTGCATAGTAGTGTGCGGCGCCCAGCTGTCGGGCGCCACACTAAAGGGTCAGCAGAGAGAAATTTTTTTGAAAGCAGGTCAGTTTGTGATTTGATTTCGGCCTCAGGTCAAATATGTGATTTCTGCCGATGCAGGAGGCCCTAAATTGCCGACACCCAAATCGTCTTCCCCGACTCTTGTGACCACCACCACGTCACAGTCTCCTCCCCTTGTCGGCTTTCCTAAGCTCGATGTGGTCCTACCGAAGCCTCGTGTGTCCTACCCGAGCAGCCCCTCACCCTCGAGCTCACCTATCGTGATACCATTCTCCGTTGCCCACAATCATTGCTCCGATGATTCCCCGCCGCATCCAAGGAGGCTTACATGCTCTAGGTAAGAGCATCTCCACTAGGCTCCCCAACAACCCCCCAGGAGCACTTTTTTAGCGTCGGTTGTAAAAAAACGTCCCAGTCATGAATCCAAGACCTTGTTTTTAGCCGGATTTGACGAATGTTACGGTCGGCGCGCCCACCCCACACCCAGCTTCCTGGGGGGCAGCTAGGGACACAGGCGTTTGCCTTTTGCATGCGCAGGCCCACCTGCCAGCGTCTCTCTCTCGTCCCTTTCCCTCCCTGGCCCACCCACGTGCTCCCCTCCACACACCCATCCCCCTCTCTCTCGGCTGCAACTCCTCTCTTATCCTTCTCCTTCTCTCACCTCGCTGCGCTCGGCATGCCGCCGCCCTCGCCTCGCCGCGCACAGGGACGGCAGGATGAAGGAGCTCCGGGCCGGCTCCGCGCCTCCGCGTCTCCACGTCCCCTGGCTCCGCTCGCCGGCGGCCTCCTCCGTCCTTCGCGCCCTTCGGTCATTCTGGTGCAGCGGCGTGCCCATCGGCATCGGCGGTTCGAAGAACCGCACGGCGAGGCTGGCACGGCCCCCGTCTGCTCCGGGTGGCCCAGCTGGATCCCGAGCAGCAGGTCCGCCGCGAATAACCCAGGTCGTCCACGAACCCCTTGGCGCCGTCCAGCGCGCCGCGGAACGGCTCCAGCACGAAGGTCCCGTCCAGCACTAGGCACTGGGCGAACTCGTTGGCCGGCATCCATGTGACGCGCCCGTGGTGCAGCGCGCCACTTGTGGCGCTCTCTCATGCAGCCGCCGCTTGCCAGCGTGGAGAGAGCCGATGGACACCACCTGCGGCATGTAGGCGCGCTCGTCGCCCTCGCGGAGGGACTTGGGCACGCGTGCTCTTTGGTGGCGTCCTGCTGCTGTAGCAGCGCGTCCGCCGAGGCTGCGGTGGTCTCCGCCGATGCCTTCGCGGCAAGTACCTCCCACAACACGGCCTCCAGCGACGCTGGAGAAGGTGCAGAGCCGGCTGCCGCTGCTGCCGCCGTCCTGGACGGGGAGGCGCAGCGGGAAGCGCAGGTCCGGAGGTGAATGGCGAGAGGGAGGAGCAGAAGCAGGTGGCGAGGGAGAAGGAGATGGGGTGAATGGACGGCGACGAGGTTGGGTGGAGAGAAGGAGGAGCAGGGCCATGCCGCCTCCACCTCCATGGCCGACCAGAGGAGAGACAGACGAGAGGGTAGGGGGGACAACAAGTGGACTTTTTTGACCCCAGGTTAAAATTATCGCCAGCGGCCCAGGCGGCGAAAAAAATGCCTCCTGGGGGATCAACGGCTGGAGATGCTCTAAGGCCCTTGTTTTGTATCCCCTCCTCCCAAGTCTCTCAATGCGTCTAGTTTTTTTTTTAAACAAGGCAAAAAATTGCCATTTTCATTAATTAAAAAGAGGTTTAGACATAAGCCGCAAAGCGGAAAAAGAAAAAAGGTCTACTCTCGCGGCATAAGTAGGCTCAAATGCTTGGCTCCAGCAAGTGCCCAGAGGCGGGCTTCCTCCTTGATTCTGCTGACGACAATCGTTGTTGGAGTGGCCATGTTGCGAAAAATTCTTGCATTTCGTTCCTTTCAAATTTCCCATGAAACCAACATCATAACCGAAGCAAGGGCCTCCCTGTGTCTAGTTTGATGCTCGCATAGCGCCGCCATTCGCTGGAAAGTTGTTGCAGTGAAGTTTCGGCCATCCCGCGTGCCCGTGCTTGATTCCCTAGCTACGCAACTCTCCCCGCTAGCTCACGTCTCGACCAACGTGCGTTCCTCGATGCTACAAAGTGTGACTCAAGTGCTCCCGGGGCACCCTGGCACAGTCGTAATCCCAGGGTCTACACACAATTAGAGGACTCCTGATGGGCTTTATGCAAATTTGCAGGAGCTTACTCCCTAACCGTTGGATCGTCAACAGGTGCCCACGGAGGTTACATAGTCACTCTTCTAAAATGTGCAATGAAATTAAGTTGATAGATCAAGGGCATGTAAAGTGGTCGATAAAACGATCTCCTCTTATGTATTCCATGTCATGTAGAAAAGCCAAAAGAACAGGTTATACAACGCATTGTATCTGAACATTATCTCCAACAATTATTATTGTCTATTTTCTTTTCCGTTTCTGTCTTTCAGCGTCTGCGCGATGAGACCAGCTTGCCAGATCAATGCGAAAAGAAAGTGCGGTTTTCTGAGGATAGCCGTATCACCACATCCAGCTCAAAAGGTGCAATTCTTGTCACATGCACCCGGCTCATCATGCAACTTATCTTTCGGAGCAGAAATAACCCTTAAATTTGGACAACAAAAAGGCTACAGAACTGTACAGCTCTCAGTAAGAAAACTGGAACCTCCTGTTACGACTTAGGAAAACTATTGTTCTGATATCACATGTCTAGCTTACTCACAAAAAAAAATTACTGTTAGCTGGTGCAATTTCCTAAGGCCGTCATTGCCTCTCTGCTACATGACTTGTACACCGGTCACTGCTAGGCGCTAGCTGCCAAGGACCAAGGTTGAACTGAACCGCTGATGACCCAACACATCATCATCTGCTAGATGCAGAATCCGAAAGCAATGGTTGATGGATGGAACTCTTGTTCCTACGCAAGTCGGTTAGTAAATAATCAAGATAGGTCCCAGTCGACGACTCCAAATTCCCCGGGGCTTGGGCATGTCCGTCGGTTTGCTCAATTTGCTGGAGAACATCGATGGCACTAGGTCGGTACACGTTCCTCAAGTATCTGAGAGCCAGCACCGGGCCCATTCCTGCGGCAACAATCAGCTGGGAAAAATATATTTTCACCATAGATAACGGTCAGGCCACAGTCATAGCTATAAAGAGTATATATAACCAACAACAGTAGACTCACGGCCATGGTGATCCAGTATGAAGGTTGATTACACAGATGCCACATGACAGTGTGCATCTGAAGGGTTGGTACCGCACTGAGTATTAGGTTGATCATGTAGAAGGCTACAAAGTTCCCCCATATGAGGGTGATTTGTGGACAAGTGAATGAGCTGAAGACAGAAGACAGAAGACAGTGTAAGTGAAGTACGCTATGATGTGCTTGTAGCAACAAACCGTGAGAACTTACTTAGTATCCAGGGTCACCACAAAAGCCTGCAACCAAATGCATCCAGACAGGGCAACCATGGAGAGTTCCTCCATATCACTTTTCTCATCAGCATACGCGTTGATGGTAATTAGGAAAACAACAAATGCCTGAAACCACAAAAGATTAAAATCTCGTTATGAGATTAGATTTCCATGTGCAGCTAAAGCATAGTGGATGTAAAGGATCATGTGTGAGCCATGATTAGGTACTCATTTACATACAGGAAATAAATCAAGACAGAAAAAAATCATCGACTTCATGTACTAATAGTGCACACTGCATTTGGTTAGCACACTGACTGATAGGTGTATGTGTTATTCACTGCATATTCAGGCCTACTGAAAAATCTCACAAGCTGCTCGTCAACAAGTGGTTTGTTGTCCACAATAGATTGCATTAACAGAGCAAGAGATACTTGAACAGAACCTTCACTACTACCCACGTCCCAACCACTGCATCCACTACACTTCAATATATTCTTCAAGATACGGAAACCCAAATGAGTACAACATAAAAAGAATGAAAGAGTAATGTTTATTTTACATGGTACAGCGATCGCCCAAACCATTCAGCAAATGTACTGCGATTCAAGAGCCTGGAAACACAATGAAACTACTCATATTAGTCATGCCACAAAACAGCTACATAGCACACTTACAAGAAGCCTCAACAAATAAAAATGAAGGAACAAAAAAATTCTGTTTGTACCTCCCAGCTTGAGAATAAAGTAAAATCTGGGGATATCGCAGAACTGTTGTTTCAGAGATATCCTTGTCAAAAATTATTGTCATAACCGGAAGACTTGTGTAGAAAACATTGTAGGCCATCAGGCTAATCGAGTTGAAGATACTAGTTCCAGAAAGCCCTGACGAAAAGGAAAAACTAACATAGGACCCAGGTCAGCAGTCCATACGTAGTGGCTTCCCAGTATAATCAGAGGTACTGCTAATGGAAAGAGCATTAGGAGGCTAGACTCACAGAATCTGTATAAAGCAAATCAACAGCGACTTGTAGAAGGAGTACTGCGAAATGAATGCTGTGCGATTGTATGAATATCGACCATGGACAAGTATCAACCTTCTGAGAAACTTGAACTCTGCAAAACAATTGGAAAAACATACATACTTAGACTTCGTAAAAGTACATGGAATTTGGAGGTAGAGTTCAACAAAAGGATAAGATGGTAGGGATTCTCAGTACAAAGACATGATCCATTGGACATTTTCTTTTTCAGATGAAAAAATGATACCAGTTCATATGGATAAACAAAGGTCGAAAATTCACAATCTCTGCCTACACTAGTTTGGAATCTCTATACAGGGTTCAGAAGACTGGATGGTCAAAACCAGAGCCAGACATGGAGTGGGTTTCTAGGACCTGGCTTCAGCTAGAAAGACGATTAAAGCAGCCTTCAAAAGTTCTAGACGACCACATAATGTTTAACATTGTGTCCAACTTAAAATAATGCAAGCATAAGAACACCTCCGAGCTCAACAATACAAAGGCAGCACTGACATACACATTACAAGGTAAATGTAAAATCAGGAAACTCTGTAAAATTAATAAAAGATGCATACTTCCAATGCTATAATCAGCAGCTCTTGCAGCTTGCAGTCCCTCCCTACCACTAATCCCTACTCCAATGTTAGCCTCTTGAATCATTCTTACATCATTACCACCATCACCAATTGCTAGAGTTAAAGAACCAGATGATTTCAGGATCCCAACAAGCTGCACAAATGCAAAATAAAGTTAGTTTTCAAGTGACCAGCTAAATAGCAGCAGCGCATGATATGTTATTGAGTAGCATCACGATCTACATCAATATTTCAGACTCTTGCTCTCTATCAGGATCTACATTGTGTCCCTCATTAAGTAATTATTAACACTAGCAAGATGCCCGTGCATTGCACGGAACAGCAAGATGCATTTATTTTACAAAAAATCTGTTGTGATTGACCCATGAGGGAGTAATCTTATGTGTAAAAACTAACGGCATCTGCAGCTGCAGGTTTACTTAACTCAGCACGTACACTGCTGATGCAGATCCTCCCCGACACTGACCTGCGCAAGCACGTAGATGGCGCCGTCCGTGTCCCAACAGCTCAGACTGAGCGGAGTGGGGGAGACGAGAAAGAGGAGAGATAAGGTGAGGAGTGGGGCGTGGTGGTGGTAGGTGGTCGGACTGAGCGGAGGCATGGGGATGGACAACGCCGTCAGCGGCCACCATGCCAGATTGTTCCAGAGGCTTCCTTTTTTAATTGCTCAATAATGAGGTTATGTGAGATAAGGATGAACGAGGGAAGGCCTTATATGCAAATGTGGAGAGAGGGCGGGTACTTTTTGCAAAATTGCCATAGTTTGCTTTCTATCCCTCGGATATAGATAATAGATCGGACGGTCTATATTGCAGGATGGCAGGCACACCATCATCATCAACTCGGTTTTTTATAAGAGTAGAGATAGAGATAAAGTCCAGTAAGTCCAGTTGAATGCTACGGCTCCATTTGCATCGAGGTGGATTATAATAGTATGGGATGTCATTAGTAGAATCACGAAAAATAAATCAAAATTGTAAATGATCTTGCCCAACATGAGGATCTTCGGTACCAAAGACGACATATACTCATCCCATTCAGTTTTTTTAAAACCAATTTACATGTCAAAAGGTAAGAAAACTGTTGGTAGAAACAGCCAAAGGGAAACCTGTGCTTTCTGCAAAGGTGTCATCCGACAGCATATTGCTGTTCTTGACATCATGGCCAGCTTAGTGAAAGATTCCAGCGAACGCTTCAGAATTATTTCGAGTGCCCAACCATCCAAAACGAATGCAAGATCCTGCATAAACAGATTTGACATGAAGTACTCCAGTCAACCAAAACAAACTATGAACCCATTCAGAAGTAACATAGTTTAAGTTTGACAAACACACTAAAGAATATGATAGCAAATATGATATGATAGTTCAAACTGAATATACAAAACGAAAAAAAAATCCTGAAGATTTAACATATACTCCCTCCGTTCCTTTATCTTAAGTGTACTTGCTTTCTCCTGCTTCTAAAGATTTGAGTTGGTGGTGAGTTCACTCACCCATTCACTCTTTCTCCTACCCATGGGACCCACTGAATCCATACCTAATATTAAAAGGACGAAAGGAGGATTGTTTCTTCCCAATTTGTTTCGTACATCATCCCCTCCCATACGGTGGTTTTTACGTATGTCATTCCCTCCCTGTAGTATCGAATCCATCACTGCACAGGACCGACCCGGCCACGATCACCCCACCTGTGCCTACATACAACCACACGAACGACAGGATAAGCGATGTCGCCCAAGATATACCTAGCACATCTGTTGTCATCGTCGAAGTACGGTAACCACCACAAGACGTGCGGCTGCATATCGTCTGATCCCAGCCGCACGCAGGAACACATACATGGCGATGGGGTCGTCGTTGCCGTGGCTGACCATGCCGACGGCCGACATACCACCACATGTGGCACGACACCCGCTCCATCCGACTCCCCTGATCCATCCCCTCCTCCCGAATTTGTCAGCAATTACTCTCGATCCTCTTCTCCATGCGTTGCTCAACAAGTAGTCGCACGAGATGGCGTGGAGGCGGCCAGAGGTCTGTTATGATCCTGCACACCTAGGGCCGCGCAAGTTCCTCGATGGACACTGTGCGGTGCGGCTCGACCTTGGCTGACGCACTCATCCACAACAAGCCGCGGCCCAGGAAGCGCTTGGGCGTAGGGGCAGCAGCCGAGCGGTGGAAGCGGTGGAAGCGGCGCAGGGATTCTGATGTGGATGCCGGAACAAGGACGGGTGCTTCCAGATCAGGTGCGATCTGGTTGTTGCAACTTGCAACTCTGAGCACCCTTACCCGATGGCTTCGGTTTCCCCTTCGGGCATCTAAGCCCAACAGATCACGACAGTTCCCGCCCCACGATCGAGCCGGCGCATGGCTTGCCTTTGAGAAGTTAACGAAGACCCTTCGCCCTACTCCGCAAGTCGGTCAGGGGCTACACCCACCAGGTGCACTATCGGGCTCCCAATATCTACAAAGGGCAAGAAAACCGCCCTGTTCATGCTTCGCTGATTTCGACATTTTTTAAGATGGTTTTTGTGAAACCGGATGTCTCCAACAACAAAGATAGGGAGGTCGGACACCTTGCACACCATGCACGGTTTTCCTCGATTTCCTCCTGACGAGCCCGACAGGTCGTGTTATCTCCAACCTCTTCAAGGCGAAGATCATTTTTCCTCCCAAGGATACTTAGGACTCCATCAAGACCACGCCAAGCATACCAAGATGGCGCATTCAGTTCGACATCGACCCAGATGCAGCCGAGCTCATGACGGACTCAAGGGCTACTGACGGTACACAGTACCAGGGGTATCCAACCTCCGGGGAAGTCGGTTGCCAGATCGGCCTTAGGGCGCAGCTATAGGCCAAGCCCCTTGCCGTGCCAGCAGGCCTCCCAAGACCGGCCCACCAAGCCGACTGTTGGCCCACCAGGGGCGACCTTAACTTGTACTCCAACATACATGTATCAATAGATCTGATAGGACTCTACTATGTAAACCGACTTGGGCTCATGTAACCCTACC